CCTATTAGAAACTTCAACCTGACCACTCGACTGAGGATGATATGGTGTGGCCACCTTGTGCTTTACACCATACTTTTCAAGCAACCTGGTGAAAGCCTTGTTGCAGTCCTCTTCCCTTGCAAAATGAATATGTCCCCGACTCTAAATAAAGCCTTGTCCAAAAAATATGATTACCTGTATGAAGAAGATATCCTACCCGATGTACAGAAAGTATCCTCCACTGAACTACCCCTCATAAATCCTTACTCAGCTTTTGCCAAAAATAATTTGCACCCTGCACCCAAATTCGTTCCTTAGTCCAACATAGACCAAAAGGAGTCAAAGAATATGTTGCTGCCTAAAAACTTGACCAGCATCCTATTCTTTCCACTCGATAGGAACAATTTATCACCCTTCAAATTCAAATGATTTTCCCAGACAATGGAGAGATCATGGTTTTACCCATATCCATTTTGGTGCTATCCGAATCGCTTTAACATATCACAGAAGAAAGGTCAACCTGTAGTAGCTAGACTTTCTCTTCTAGATACAAGATACTTGGAGTACCAACATGCAAATTTGGGTACTGCAGAAGTTACCTTGAATGTTAGGACTGTTTTCATAACTATCTTTCCAAATTTCAACATGTCTCTTTATGACCCATACTTCACCAAAGCACTAAATATCCATGTCAAAATTCAAGGAGCCCCACAAGCCAAAGATTCTATCCAAGCGACTCTTCATCACCAAATGGTGTGGCAAGTCCAAAATCATGCCATGGATCTTTGCCTTCCAGGAGGAGAAAATGCTTAACTCTTGAATATTGATGCTACCAAAGGAAACACCGTGTGCACCCAAATACCCAGACAAATTTCCATTGATGAGCTTGTTAAAATCCTTGATTCCTGGATCACAAATTACGAAAAGCTAAGGGAACTAGAGGAATCTCTGCAATCTGGTAAACCAACTTTTACCAAAAGAAATGACAAAAACATTTGGATAAGCTTTGACCATTCCCATCTCAAAAAACCCAATAAAACCATCTTCTCTTGCCAAATGATTCAACCCAAAGATACAACAGATACATACCCTGAACCTGACGGAGAATTCTTCTGGAATATACAAAGCATCATGGAAGAACATGACTAGTGTCGACATTTTGACAAAGAAGGAAAACGAGTGTAGTGGTTCAAATTCCCCTTTACGGGACATTGCCCTTGGGATCTTGGTTGCGACTGCCAAGACTGTTTGGAAGACCCAATTGGAGAATATGATGAACACCATCTGCGTCATTGGGAAAGATTTGGCCTTAACAAGACCAAACCAAAATCCAAGAAAAAAGGGAAAACCACTGAAAAGCAATTGCGAGCCAAATATGAAAATAAAGACCCTTCAATTGGCTCATTGAGCCGCCCAGGTAAATATGAATTTAATTTCTTATCAGTTACAAACCCCAAGAAGGGCCAATATTACCAGAAAAATTACACTCCAAGTTGGGAAGATAGTGGAACCACACCCAAACCCAAACCGCCAACAACTCATACCCCAGAATCCAAAAAGCCACCTGAACCTAGAACGCCATCAACCCAAAAGTCCACACAACCGCAGATATTCATGCTAAGCCCTTCAAGCTCCAGTCATACCCAAGATTTTCCTTCACTCCAGCCTTTTGAAAAAGAGGGTATCAGCCATGCTCCAAAAATCCCCAAGAAAAATATAGTACTACCTTCTGGAGAAAAACCCCCAACGAATGACATCGAAGCAACAATGAACTGGCAATCAGAAAATTCCATCTGCCAAAACAAAGTGCTCAACAATATTGGCAACACCATAAAAAATGTGGCCCTTACACAAAACAAGTTAATGAGAAAAGTGGAAACAACTGAGAAAAAGGTGGAACAGACATTATCTCAGCATGCAGGACTAATCAAAGCCTTGGAACTAAGATTGGCAAATTTACAATATGAGACTTGTCCGCCAGGAACTTCATTTTTTCCAGTTATTCCAACAACAACAAAAGGAGATGATTTCAATCAAGGAACAAATCCAACTTTTGAGAAATGACCATTTTGAGTCACAAAAAACCCCACTTTTCCCTTCAAAATCTACCTTTTATCCCATGTCAACACAAGCATATTCCCCACCAAAATTGGACAACACCTTTTCTAACTTTTCTACTACCTCACAGAATCCTATCTCTTTCACCCAACCCTTAAAAGAGGAACATGATTTTGACATTGCAAAAATGGTTTGGGAAAGGAAAGATGCTCTTGCAGCACAAAAACAAACCAAGAAAAGGCGAGATCACGATGAAAGTTCAAAAGGGTCCAACCCCGAAAATCTGATGATTTCTGATCAGAAGACTCCGAACCTCTATGTTTCCCGGCCAAGAAACATGTCAGAAGGAGATACCACATGGTTAGAATCTCTAAATTCATCTGACGATGATACAATGGAAGATAGCTCTCAATCAAGCAATGATTCCACATCACACTCTTCCGAAGAAGACGATCCCCCAATATTTGTGAGCCAACCAAGAGACCCAAGAAAATCTGAAGTAGAGGAGGATCAAGAAGGCATGACGGATGAACCAATCCCAGAAAGAAGATATGAACACATGGCGTCAAAACCAGTTGGAACTGGCTTCCACACTTTCACCTTAGATGACGTCAAGGTTTCAAAATGGCCTCGAAGGATCCAAGACTTCTATACTTGGATGTGACCAAAAATTTGGTGGAACGAGAAAAGTATATCATTCTATCAGAACTAACTTCACGGTTCTCAAGAATCCTCAGATATTGGTGGAACTCACTTGTAATTCAAGACAAAAATACTTTTCTTACATCCCAAGATTTTGCTTTCAACATCAAGATCCTACATGGAGTTTTCTGCGGAGATACTAGCCAAAGACAGGAGAAAATGCGAAGACAACTCTTCGAGATGAAGTGTGTGTCATTCGACAGAAATGACATTGACAGGCATTTTCAAAAAATGGCAAAGATATAATTTGAAATCGACGGAGACATCAACCTGAAGCAAGCCTTTGTCTCTTCCCTTCCAAAGCTGTTGGCAAGCCGAACCATGACCATCATTGAAGAAAAGTTTCAATCAATAACAGTCCCACAATTCGGCTACATCAGGCAAGCTATTTTCGTAGCATTGGAGGACATTTGTACAAAACGCTCAGCCCTAAAACAAATTATCCAGCACAATCCAGCGCTTGACAAATTATGTCGTAGATCCGATCTGATTACTGGAGCAGGATGTTCTTGCCACACATCTAGGCGATAGAAAGGATTTAGGAGGTTTAGATGGCCAAGAATTCCAGATGGAAAATGAAAGTCCAAGAGAATCACAAAATATTTCAGACATAGAAGGCCATGAAATTTTCACAAGAAAAGTAGATGCTTTATTTGCCAGAAGATTGGACATTTCGCGAAAAACTGTCCCCAATCAAGAAAATCTATCAAACTCCTTGAAGAGATTGAAGATTACACTGGTATACATCTCGGAAAAGAGGATGACCTTGAATCCATATTCTCTGTGGATGATGAACCTAGTGAAGATACTTTATTCTCTCTTGATATCTATGAAGATAAAGGCAATGATCACTACCAAATTTCAGAACCAGTGATCGAAGCCCGAGAGGAGATCAACGCTCTCGTAGTCGTTCCTCTAGTAGAACTCAAACTCTATTCATCCAAATGGGATAAACCAACTCGAGTTATTGCGTTCATCGATATTGGAGCTGTTTCCTCACTCATAAATCCCGTTGTTCTCCCTGAAGATCAATAGGTGCCACACTTTAAGGATTTTACACTGCATCAAATAGAATCTTGACTACCACCGCCATCACAAAGCATCTGGTCACAATAGAGTTCTTTCCAGGGTTGAAGTACAGAACACAGCTGATAGGGTCTGATGTACCAGGAAAAGATCTTATTGTTGGATTCGACATTTTTACAGAAACCTTAGAGATCAACTCTAGATCAAGGCTAACAGGATAGCTTTTAAGAAGCAGTTTAAACCTTATTCTGAGATTCCAAGGCAATTCCAAATCACCAACGACGAACAAATCAAAGAGATTGAGCAAAATTTCATTGAGCATTCATGTGTTGAATCCCACAAGGATTTCATAAAGAAAAGGAAAAGCCCGTTATGAAAAAACGAAGAGTTTTTTATCAAGGTCCCATTCAAGAAGAATGAAAACATCAATCCAACAAAATCCAGTCATTCAGGCATAAATCCAGATCATCTTCAGCTTGCAAAGAAAGAATGCGAAGAACTTTTAGAATTTGATCTAATAGAGCCATCGGATTCACAATGGGCATGCGAATCATTTTATGTCAACAAAAGAGCTGAGCAGACAAGAGGAAAGCTCAGGTTAGTCATTAACTACCAGCCACTTAACCATTTCCTCCAAGATGATAAATTCCCTATCCCAAATAAACTCACTCTTTTCTCCACTTAGCCAAGGCCAAATATTTTTCCAAGTTTGATTTTAAATCTGGATTTTGGCAATTGGGAATCCACCGTGAAGAAATACCCAAAACGGGATTTTGCATCCCCGATCATCACTTCTAATGGAAAGTCATGCCCTTCGGGTTGAAAACTGCACCCTCTTTGTTCCAAAAAGCCATGATAAAAATATTCCAGCCCATCCTCCATACCCCTTTAGTTTACATTGATGACATCGTGTTATTTAGTGATACATTGGAGGAACATGTCAACTTGCTTCGTCAGTTTGAGGCGTTGATAACTCACTATAGGATCATGCTTTCAGCAAAAAAGATGGTTCTTGCCCAAAAAGAGATTTATTTTCTTGGAATGCATTTTGTTCGAGGTGCATACAGTCCAGGACCACATATATGTCAAGAACTACTCAAATTTCCACATACCAACCTCACAATAAAACAGATCCAACAGTTCTTGGGTATAGTAAATTATGTGAGAGATTTCATCCCAAATATCTCTACATACATTTCTCCACTCACAGAGATGCTCAAGAAAAATGCTCCATCATGAGGAAGAAGCAAGATGAAGCAGTCAGGGAAATAAAGGAGATTTCTAAAAATGTCAAGTCCCTCTATATCCCTTCAGACGGTAAGAAGATACTGCAAACTGATGCCAGTAATGAATATTGGAGTGCCGTTCTATTTGAAGAAAAAGATGGCCGAAGAAAAATATGTGGATATGCCAGCGGAAAATTCAAAGAGGATGAGCAACATTACCACTCCACCTTCAAGGAAATCCTTCCAGTAAAGAATGGAATCAAGAAATTCAATTTTTTCCTGATTCACACAGAGTTTCTGATAGAAATGGATATGAAGGCCTTCCCAAAGATGATCCAGATAAATGCAAAAATTATTCCCAATCCTCAAATTCTCAGATGGGCCCAATGGTTCTCTCCATACAAGATTCAAGTCAGGCACCTGAAAAGGAAAGGATAATATTCTCGCTGATTTTCTGTCTCGACGGGAAGAATTCTCAAAGAGATTTTCCCCAGCAAAACTAAAGTCAAATCAAAAGCTAATCAGGCACATCTTCATGCTTTCAAATATACCTGGAACAAGTTCATTGAAGCCAGCAGATCATCCACCGAAGTTGTTCAACCTCATGGATCCCTTTGATCCGTAAATTATTATGAAAAGAAGAACTTATTATGAGCTCCAAGTTTTCCGGCAACATGGAGGATCAATTCTCAAGCCATATGGGGTCAATCCAGAATATCCGTTCTGCCATATATTCATAGCTCAAGCCAAGGATTTTCCACAAGAACTATTATGGTTTTTCTGGTACATATGCCATCAGTATTATATTTTTATGGAATTCAAATGCAACGTCTTCAAGGATTTTGATAACATTGAACCAGCTCTTAAAGTATTTTTACTATGGTTCAAGCCTAGAAGATATTGGATAAAATGTTTCTACGATTCCTACACAACAAAGGTATTCATGTTCCATAGGCCCGTGAAGATTATTAATGGAAATGTCCATGCGCAAGCAGAGGCATCATTCTGGTGGAAATTTCCCGTGTCCATTTTGTCCATGGAAGAAGAATATAGCGAAGCACAAAAGAATCCTCTTCCAGCAAAACAGGTGCATCCCGAGAGAGATATAGCCAAAAGATTGGGCAAGCTGGAATTATACCAGCACTCATCCTCACTGGGAAAAAGTCCGGGAAGCAGCAAAAGAATATCAAACCTCATACGAAGTCACCCGAGAAAAGATCACTCACGACATCTCCAGATTAAGGTTGCGGATTACATCTCTCAATCCAAAGGAGAAGAACACAACGAAGAAGGACCGTCAAGCTCCAGGCGTTACCACACAAGGTCTTTGAGAAGATGCCTAGAAGACAACCCTAGAATCAATGAAGGATAATTATCTAAATCCCTGCTAATCCCCCCCATAATCCTTCCTTACCTACCAAAAAACAATCAAAAATCATCTACCCATGCCAAGACAAATTTCCATATCTTTCAATACTATCTGGGCCCTACTTCCACTTGCTTTAACTTGCTTTCACATGTTTCCACATGCTTCGTCACATGCAACACCCTACTTTCACAGGTCGTCACATGCTCCCGCATAATTTCACATGTTATACCATGTATATTTCACCCTTTTTACATGTTTTCAGGAGCTTTTTAGTTGTTTTGCCTATAGTCCTTCACATGCCAAGAAGGACCCACTTGTAGATAAGTTTGCCATGTAAGATAGGTTTATTTTATAATGTAAGTTTGTCTTGTAGTAACCTCCTAGTCCTATATAAAGGAGGCCTTGTAGTAGTTGTAATCTATCTTGTAACCTTTGTAAATCTTTTGTGATATATTACATATGAGTGCTTTCTAAATTTCCCTCTTGTTCTTTCTTTCGAATGGATGGAAAGGTCGGGTCCATGGAAAATAGAGTAAGAATACTCTAAAAAAGTTAGCTTATTGTAGTACGAAAGTTTTTTGAGTTATAAACAGCTAACGTTGGTTATAGCAAAAAAGTTTTCTGAGTTGTGTAGCTTGGCAAGCCGTCCCTTATGGGTTGTTGAAGCCAGCCCCTTTGTAGGAAATCTTTTGCGACTATAAGAAAATTAACTGTTTGTGTAGCTTGGCAAGCCGTCCCGTATGGGTTGTTGAAGCCCGCCCCTTTGTAGGGAAACTTTCGTATCTATGGCTTAGTTTGCTTTCTTGGAGTCTCTTGCTCTGTTCTTATATGGCCCTGGGGGTACCAAACCGGGTGAATATGTTCTTCTTCAAGAATGCGATCACACTCCTTGCTTCATCGTTGGGCAAGGCGATTGCCTCGACCCATTTGGAGACGTAGTCCACAGCCACCAAGATGTAGGTCATGCCATAAGAGCTCACGAAAGGGCCCATGAAGTCTATCCCCCACACATCAAAGATCTCGACCTCCATTTGTCGCGCCCCCTTTTTCTTGCGAAATCGAGTTTATGACATTTGGGAGGACAACTCATTCCTTTTGGGAATTGGGTTTGATTTAAAGAGTCGCCACCTAATGATTAGGGTGCATTAGGACACCAAGGCGATTTGATTTGAGTAACCAGAGATTGGGTAAGTGCTTGAAATTATTCTAAGGGGAAGGTGTTAGGCACCCCTTAGAATCCACTAGTGTGGTTCCCGGCCATACTATTATTGTGAATTTGGGTACAATTAGCATCTAGACAAATAAGGCTCAAATAAGAGGGGATTTTATCACATAAAGGTTTGAAAGTAAGCAAGGTTTGAAAGAACAATTAGGAAAGCTGATTTCTTTTTAAAAAAAAAAGAGTTAAAATGCTGAAAAGAAAGACATAAAGAATAAAGGGAGGGGGGTCCTAGGTTTATTAATAATATGGATCACCCCACACAATTCCCGGTAATCACTCCTCAATGAGGGATTACACGTGACATCGCGTGGTCATCATATCCATATCTACCCTTCCCCACCCCGTTAAGGTATTAAAGCGCGGAATGGTTTCGCTTACCTATTGCATGCTACTACCCGTCCCAATCCTGTCAGTCTCAGGGGCATTTAGGACTACTAATACTAAGGGAGGTAGGGATGTTAGGCTTATTTGTGGTTTTAAAGGCAAAAAATTCTAAGGCGACATACAAAACATGTATAGCAAATTGGGAGGAAAGCACATAACAAGCAAAGGCTCAGATATACCCCCTTTAAACAAAAGAAGCGCATAATTAGCATGACTTACACATACTAATTAGGGTCTGAATAAAAGTTAAACATGCGAGGACTTAAAGGTTGAGGCAGACTGATTTATTACATAATTCAGATAAGAAGCCCGAATCAGGCATGCCTGCTGGTTGTAGCTATTAACAAAAATAGATTTAATTTTACCCTAAGGCTTGCCTAAGTGTTGAGATGAGGTCCTATAGGCATGATATCTACTGAATTCAAAAATAGTAAAGCTTGAAATAAATTGTTTGAATGCATACTCGTTATGCTAAGTGTGGGAATCAGATTATTAAAAGAGAGGCCAGATTTAAACGAACTGATTATTAGCTCTGCAACTGACAGCACCCTTATTACTGATTTTATATCCATATGTGAATGAAACGGCTCAGATTCGATTAAGAGTTCCTATAGACATGCTTTCTATGCGTAGTTGATTTTGAACGTGGTGTAGAATGCAGTAGACCTGTTTTAAAACTTATGCACATGATATCTAGGTGCTGAACTGTTTGAAAACCTACGAACATGGTATCTAAATGCAGAAATTGTTTTTAAAACTATAGGCATGATTTCTAAATGCAGAAATTGTTTGAAACCTATGAAGATGATACCTAAATGCAGAAATTGTTTGAAACCTATGAACATGATATCTAAAATATAGAATTTATTTTAAGAACCTATAGGCATGATTTCTATATGCAGAAATTGTTTGAAGCCTATGAGCATGATATCTAAATGCAGAAATTATTTGAAACCTATAGGCATTATTTCTACCCTTTTTGCATACATAGTTACCCACCCTTTTCACTAGCCATCCCCAAGAGTTTATTACAAATTATTACAGCCCAGATTAAAGTAAAAAAAAATACATCAGAAAAATATAAATAAAAATACAACCAAGGAGAGCCTGATTCAGCTTCATGTCTGAAATATGAGGTAACCAACTCCATGAGATCATGATCCAAAGCCTTTCTCCCACTTGAGTGTGTCAAATTTCCCTAAGAGACTCAAAGGGACTCCGGGCAATGCTCACACCCAAATGTATTATCAGATTGGGACAAGTGCAGTATGGAAGGTCCACCCCTCAAGTGTCCAAGTTCATAGGGAGCTCAAACGGTCCCAAGGCAAGGCTCACAAGAGGAGGGCAGAACTTTAAGACTAAGAAGGTGTGCAAGTGCAGAATAGGGTGCTAAAAGGGAAAAGGAAGGGGGAATCAATTACAAATAAGCACACAAGGGGATTCAGGGGAATAAGGGATTGTAAAGAGCCTGTCGTTTAGGCAAAAAGCCAGACTTTGGGCATGCCCAGCAATGGGAAATTCTGGCACACCTATAAGCCTGCCAGAACACATATTGTTAGAGGCTAGGATCCCCAGGGGATCAAGTTCAATTCATGGACAATAACTTGCATACTGCCATGCCTCAAACTATAGCTTAAACACATAGGGGGCAGGGGTTTGGGATTCATGATAGAACGGGCAGAAAGAAATCAATAAGCTATAATGCTTGTTGAACTATACATAAGCAGTAAACAGGGATACAAAAACAGTAAATAAACATATTGTTGTAGTGCTGAAAATTAAATCAAGGCATACCAGTTTCAAAGAAACAAATAGAGAGCAAGCAACAGGTCTTGTAACAGGCCACAGTGTAAGCAAACAAAAGAGAATACTTTTTTTTGAGTATAAGTGTAAGTTCAAAAAAGACTGTGTCTGATTTTCTGTGATTGTCAATGAAAGGGTCGTGAATTTATAGTGTGAAGAACAGACAGAAACAAGGTAAGAAAATAATTAAGGAACTGAATATCAATTAAAAAATCAATCAATACAAGACTTCCTTTAATTAAGGAATTCAGATTCAAACGGTAAAACTATTTAAGGAAAGAAATCAACTAAATATCTTGTGCAAAGTAGGAAATTAGAGGTAAATACATAGGGGTTTTAATTAAGGGAAGAATTTTGAAATGCACGGTTTAAAACAAACAAGGTAAGGATCCATCAGTATTCAGTAAATTAAGGGGGTTAGAGATTTTGTTAGCATTGGTCCACGATTGAACCAAGTCAGAAAAACTAAGGAAGACTTTTGACTCAAATCGAGTAACAGGGAAGTCAGCAAACATGGAAAGAAAATCAATCAAACTTATTCAAAGAAAGTCAGAAACCAATCACAATTGAAAGCCATTTAGAAGGAAAGTTTAGTACATATAAAGAGTACACAAGTATCAGGCATGCGAGGCTGAATTTAGGACAAAGTGAAAGTGTCAT